AATCTCCGAAACTATTTAGCTAATTATTTTTTATCACCAAATGTAGCTTTACCATGGCAATGGAATTATTGTTTATAAAATGTTAAAATGAATATCCATATAATATAATAATATATGAAATAATTCTTGAATTACCTGTCCATTTCATTTTTTGACCTATTGCAGACCAAGCTTTTTCGGTAACATCTTTTCTAGAGTGTTCAGCTAATGTATGATTATATAAACACTGATAATTTTCAATTAACTGAACAAATTTCACCGTTTGATCGCTTTTATCTTCCATTTTTACTTATTATTTTATTTATACGGCGTTACCTCTACGCCAAGCGACCAACACTGCTGTACGCCGGCCGCTATGCAGCTTGCATGTTCAAACCAGATCGCGACGATGCGTCGCCATGTGCAGGTTTTCATTTAAAAACACGTGAGATGCAATGAAGCGTACGTCTTCCTACAATCGTGTCTAATACGCGTCTATGATGACCAGCTCCGTGTGCAGAAGGCCTGTGGTGGACGAAATCGCGACGCTGCATCGTCATCTGCAGATTTTCGTTTAGAAATACGTGACATGCACTGAAGCGTACGCTTCCTTACAATCGTGTTTAATACGCGTCTATGATGAGCAGATCCGTGTGCAGAAGGCCTAAAGCTGCGCGCGCTGCTTTCAGTAGACGATTATAAGTAAAAAAAATGGTGCAATCTAAACATGACATTAGTTTAGATCATCCTTTCCCTAAAATTATTGTTAATTATTTCAAAACATCTCCTTTTTCGACTTTCAAATAAGTTTTTATTTTTAATTATAAAATAACATTTACAATCTAACTTAAACTAATATTCAAATTATTTATCGTTTTTGGTCTTCTTGTGAACTACTAATATTACCTTTACTTTTCAAAGGTATTTTATGAATAAACGGCTTTTCTTGACTTGTATAAATATCTTTTACCCTCAAAACAGCTGTTCTATTTATCGATTCAATCGGAATTTCTTTAACAGTTGCCTCAAACGTCGATATCACTTCATCTTTATCTCCTTTCGCAACCACCACATCCAAAAGACAACTGTATGCATTCCCTAAAGCTCCTTCAGTTACTTTGCTCGTTTTTAAGTGATCAATTAATTTTTTAATTAATACTACATCTTGATTATCTCTAGCTGCCTGAACTACTCTTTGGAACATTATTCTTGGGGCGCCTTGTAAATAATCTTTCCAAATTTGTTCAGCTTTCTCATCATTACCTTTTATAAAGTACTGTGCCCAAAGAACGTTATAAGGTGCTATAATTTTATGTTTGGAATATTTTTGTGCTATTTGTTCATCTAAAATTTATAAAAAAAAGATAATGGATGTAATTGGAAAAATCAAAAAAAACTTACATTTTTCTGTTAGTTCTGGATGTTTTTCCAAAATTCCGACAGCTCCACCTCTAGGAAATTTCTCAGAAATTTGTGCTAAACTCTCCGGAGTTGCTTGATCAATTTCCTTCGCTAACATATTCAAATAATCCTCAGCTTTTCCCGCAACTAAATTTGCATGACAAATCCTGTTATCTAAAGATACAACCTTTTTCATCTCTTGATCAAGTTTGGAGCCAATTTTCTCCAAAGTTTCCACCTCACCATTTCCGGCCAACTTATTTAGAAAATAACGAAATACTCTTGGTAAAGGAATTTGTTGTTTTTCTAACATATCCATACATAGTTTATTGGCATCTGATAAATGATCTTGTTGCACCAATTTCTCTAACAAAGCTGATAAATCGTTAAGAGAAAGAGATTCTTTCGTTTGCTTATAAATGTTAAAAGCTTCAGTTACATTGCCTGAATTAATTTGTTGTCGAAAATTAATAACATCCTTTTTAATCCGTTTAGTAACAGAGGTTGTTGAAGTTCTTTCTTGTTTAACAACATTTGTTTCTTCTTGTTGAGGTATAGCAAAAGGTACATTTAAATTTTTTTGTTTCAAATAATTTCCAAGGACATGTAAAAATTTATCTGATGCTAAAATGTCTTCTTCTTGCATTTGGGTCCATAACCCAATAGCTTTTTCGGTTTCCTCTTGTTTTATATAACTTAAAAGAAGTTGATAGTAAATATTAGATCGATCGATGTGACTCAAATCTTTAGTTGCATCTTTTAACCCTTCCAATGGTTTAACTAACCCTTCAACTTGGTATCTTTCACAAACGTTTTGAATTTTTTGAGGTCTGTTTTGTAATCCGGGGGTTTCTAAAATTTTTCTCGCTTGACGAATTCGACCACATTCAACGAAAGCAAAAACTAAATCATATAAACTGTTGATTTCTCCGTGAACTGATGTACTTAAATCGGTGACTCTTTGTAATCTTTCGGCGTCTTCAATTTGGATTAATTGGCAAGTTAATTCACCTTTCCATGGTGTGGCTTTAAATTGTGAAGCGCACCATTCGAAAGCTTCCAACGCTTTATCAAGATCTTTATTAATAATATGTACTTTAACTAAAGATCCCAATAAAATATTATTAACTTCAATGTAATTATTTTGATGCAAAACATTAAAAAGTTTTTGTAACTTTTCAGCTTGTCCAGCTTCGGCGAGATGATTTAAAATCGTCCAGCATAGCCCATTATAACCAACAGATTTTTGTTCATTTCGTCGTTTTAAATTTGGGTCGGTTAATACTTCAATTGCTTTATCGAATTGATCGGATTTAATTAAACAAAGTGAGTATCGAAGTATTTTTGAGTCATCAATTGCACGATCAGGTTCTAATTCTTGCATTTTCTTCATACAATTCTTTGCTTCCTCCGGTTTATTATGATATGAGTAAACATCCATCATTTGGGCATAAATTCCTGAAGTATATTTAAATTCTGGATCTTCAGAAAGATTCTTTGTCAAAGACTCCATTTTTTCAAGTTCTTTCGCTTGATAATATAACGTTAATAAATGCCTTTTAAAACCTTTCGTATCTTGTTTCTTTGCGTCTAAATTTTTAATTAATTGTTCAAGTTGTGGAATATTCATTTGATTGTATGGGGTATAAGCGGGTAATTTCGATTTTGTTATAGGAATCGGTTTTAATTCGCCGGAAGTTAATTTTTCTAGTAAATCGTTTGTCTTAGATGTCATGTTTTCGCCGAGTTTTTCTTGGATTCTTTCGGCTGCTTTTGTTGGTAAACTTAAACCATGCGAAAGTAACTTATCGCAAACTTTTTCAACGACTTCTGGGAACTTTCTAAATGAACTTAAATCAATGATAAAGGATCCTAAAATATCTATTTTTTCTTCTTTTGGTCCTCGAAGTGAATCGAGCCTATCGCTGTACTCAACGACGTATCGTATAATTGTGACATAAGAATCGACGTCTTCGGTTGCATAGAACGCATTTGTAAGTAATCGCCTGATTAATTCCGGAGTGTGATAAGCCGGTATTGTTGAAATAATTAAAGCAGCTTCTTTCAAATCTTGTTTTTGAATTAATCTTTGTACCAAGCTAGCGGCAGATTGCCCCACTGAGATGTTAGCTTCGCGTAATTTTGCGATAACATCGCTACTTTTACCTTGCATGTTTGGGATAACGTAATCTCGAATCGTTTCGCTAGTCGGAGCGAGGTTATATTTACTCATTTGAGATAAAACCCTTATGATTCCATTTCCGGTGTTATCATTATTTTGAGCTGCTAAAAGTGGCCAAAAAAAGTGTTGCCTAATTGGAGTTCCATTTTTTTGGAGTTCATCCATCAACGGAAAAGCTAAGTTTTCATTTCCTGATTCTAATCCAACTTCTGTAGCCAATAATAACCCTTTTTCATAAAAACCCTCATTCTTTAATACTTCACTGTATTTTACAATCGTTTCAAATGGATGATTAGCTTTTACTAATTGTTTAATGAAAAAAGCACCCAATGGCATTAAATCACCGTCTTCATTACTCCCTCTCGGAATTGTTTTTAACACTGCATAAGCGACATCTACTTGCCCTTTATTAATTAATCGCAAAATTAGATTAATCGCGTCTTGACTATAACCGATTTGACGTTTTGTATTTTCTAAAATTTGAGGAACATATTTTCCATGTCCGTTACTTGCTAACGAGTACACAATATCCAAGAAATCTTTATCGAGTAAATGAACGTCTTTTTGGGCGCATTCATCAACTGTCTTTTTAATCGCATCCATATCACCTTTAGCGGCATAACCACACAGGAGAGTTGTGTACGTATCTGCGCTCGGTTCCAATCCAGCCTGTGTCATTACATTTAAAATGCCTTTAGCTGATTCCATATCACTAAATTAATATAATCATAATATAATTTTCATATTATATACAGGTAGCCGTCGGTTTACGCCGGCTCAATTTACGCCGCTACGCAGTTTGCAGATGTCTCGATCGGTCTTTCCCCCTATATTAGACCGATTTTCGTTGTACAATCTGATTGGCTTTAGTGGTTATGTATTTACTGATTGTTGGGTATGTATTATGTTTTTAAAATAATATTGACCTAGAATAATATTGTACCGGGCAAGAGGCCAACCCATACCTGTTCTGGTAAAAATAAGAAAAAAAATCCATGTCTCTTAGTTAAGTGGTAACAAACATATTTTTGAAAATGTTAAAAATCGTTCCCATACATCATATCTTTAGCAACTAGGGTCCGCGACTGAATAGTGATAATGGAATCCTTATTAACTATGCTACTATAGAAGTCACAAATCAAACAACAAAAGTCGCTAGTTTTCAGAAAAAAAATATTAGTTTGATCGAATTAACCTTCGAGCGGGCGCGCTGTTATAAAATTTATCACAATCTTCGTTTTTTTAATATATTTCCTTATATAATGCATTTGAAACGATTTAACGCTAATGTATTCGTGTAACCATATATTTTGAACATTACGATGAGAAAATAAAAAAAAAAAACTATTGGCGTCGTTTTTATGGCAAAAAAAGGTGTAAAAGATAAAAAATTTACACATTAATTGCTGATTGATAAGGCCGTATTGATATTATGGGATGAATTTATGGTGTAAATGTATTATAAACACGTTTCGAGTCATATGTGAAGGTTTTCGGGTTGTTTGCTGACTTTAGAAAAATACAGGTCCGTAATGAAAGTTTTGTCGGAATCGGAATTTTTTTCTTCATCTTTTCAATATTTCAATCTTTTCAATTTTTTCGCTAGTTTGTATAAATATTCAATATATTCAAAGGTTTTTTGCGTGTAAATAAGAGGTCTGTTGGGATCGGAAACTAAATTTTAAAACGCCATGAGGGTTTGTTTGCACAGGCCGTATTTATTTTTTAGGAGTTATTTACGATTAGTTTTTATGAGTAGGTAATCCTCGGAAGATTTCGGGGTATATTTAGAATACGGTTGTCAATATATAAGTTTAGAGATCCACGTTATAGTCATTGTGTAAAGTGTCGTTGGAGCGAAGAGAAGTCTTTTTATGCAAAAGTTTTTGTGTTGAAAAAAATATTGAATGTGTTAAAATATAACAAGTGTTAAAATTTTATCTATTATATAAATGATGGCAGCACAGGAAATATTATCTAAAAGTGACATTGAAAACAACATTCAAGAACTATTTGATAAACCGAAAAAAGAAGAAAAAAATGAGTGATGAAGAAATTGAAGTAAATAATTTTGACAGCGCATCTGAAGAGGATAATTCTTCTGAAGAGTATGAAGACAGTATTGAGACATGTATAGAAGATTTTTATGTTGGAAAAGACAATGTCAAAAAAAAAAAAATATTAACATAATAAAAGATGTTTCAGGTCCTACTTGTGGTGTAAAAAATCTTAGTGAATTAGAACTATTTCAAAAAATTATCGATAGTATAATGCTTGAAAATATTGTGGCACATACAAATACTTATATAGAATCTCTGAGATCAAATCGTGATTACACACGAAGCAGAGATATCAAAGATACTAACATAAACGAATTATTGGCTTATTTGGGAATACTTTTCTTAATAGGTATTAAAAAGTCACGTTTTGCCAATGTAAAAGAAATTTGGAGCAGTGATGGAACAGGCATTCAAATTGTTAGAGCAGTGATGAGCTACAAACGATTTTTGTTTTTAACTCGATCTCTTTGATGATAAAGTTACAAGAGTGGATAGGCGTAAAACTGACAAATTGGCAGCAAATCGGTGTTTTTTCGAGAAATTTCTAGAAAACAGCGTGTTTCAAGTTAGGTGAATTCGTCACAATAGGCGAAATGTTGCATCCTTTCCGAGGTAGATGTGCATGGATACAGTATATGCCAAACAAACCCGCTAAATATGGGATAAAAATATATGCACTTTGCTACGCGAAAACTTTTTATACATACAACATAGAAATTTATTGCGGCAAGCAACGAGATGGTTTGTATATGGTATCTAACAAACCGATGGATATTGTAAAGCGATTAGTAAAACCAATAGAAAATTCAAACAGAAACGAAATTACTACTGTCAACTACTATACCAGCGTAGCTCTAGCAGATTATTTACTACAGAAGAAATTAACACTGAATAAAAAAGAATAAACGAGAAATCCCTTCAGCATTTTTACCAAATAAAATGTGTGTTTTTCAATAACCTTATTTTTATTAATGCGAACCCGTTGTCATAAAATGTATGATTTTATAACATAAGCAGGCGCATATGTTATAAAATCGAGCGCGCTCGCTCGAAAATTGATACGGACCTGTGTTATAAATTTTATACACAGCGCGCCCGCTCGTGTTACAAAATCGAGCGCGAAGGTTAAGGTTAAAAGAATTTTTGTAATTCGCGATGGTAATGAAAGCTATAACAGTACTCAAACGGGTGCTGTAATGAGACTCCTTACAGCATCCAATGCTGTAATGAGATTTTAGTAACTGTTACTTATTTTTTCTGGAATGCGCTGATTCAAACACACTTCTTTTATTGTATTTAAATTATTCTTTATTTTACACTTGTTTATAAGGAGTTGATTAAGATGTTTAACAATTTGTGAAATTTGCGGAGTTTTGCTATATTACTGGTATGACGAAAAAATGTCGAGGCTCTTTTATACCTTTTTGGGAACACAAAAAATAGTTCTCGATTTAACCAAATTTAAAAATAAAATTGAGTACTTTATGCAACCTAAACTGCTATTAATTTTAAACCCTAAAACTGATAATTTGATAATACATTGAAATAAATGTTAACAGTAACATTTTATGGAACCAGTTCAAGTTGGTGACATTGGGTCATTAATTCTTCTAGTTGTCAATGTGACAATATTTGTCTATGGATGTTTAAACACGTTCTTAACATCGAATACAAAGTCCACAATGATGAGGACATTGAACTCTGAGCAATTTCTCTTATTTTGGGAGGTATACATGAAACATTTTTGTCAAGTGAATACATTTTGTGTTTTGACAGTTTCTAATTGTCAATTCAAATTTCTATTTTCAAGTGTTACGGTATTACCAACTGCTATATACCTATTTCCCTACATTGTCAAAATTTATTTTATTTTTGAGAAAAAAAAAAAGGATATAAACGCGAATTACAAAAAATAGCATAAAAAACACGTTTCATAAGACTCATCATCGCATTCATTCATTAAAAAACTTCAACGTGAATTCGTGCATTTCAAACGTGTCTTACGAAACTTGTTTTTTAATATACTATTATATGGTCAATGTTGATTGTGTAATCCATTTACCAGTATATTATAATCAGTTTAAAAATGAAAATTATGACAATTGTACTTTCTGCACATTATTACTGGTTTATTAAGTATACCTTATACAGAGCGTATCTGAATGACGTGCCCAAACTTCAGGGGTAATTCTTTAGGCAATTTTAAGGGTACTTTCTTATATAAACTATGACCGATTTCGACAAAAATGGCGAAAAATTTTGGTTTAATTTTTTTTTCTTAAAAATCATAAACGCTAGGAAAATGAAATTTGAGAAATATGTTTAACTCATAATAGAGCACGTTTTGACCCTATTTGTACTTTCAACGTACCCTTCTAAACTACTAAACGTAACCACCCCCTTTACATTTTTGCTAAAATTTTTTGTATGAAGATGATAAATACAAGTACGAAGGCTTTCACGGCCGGTGTGAATGATAAATACAATTAGAAAAAATTTACATACGTAGATGAAAGTATCCTAAAACTTTTTTGTCTCGTTAAAAGTTTTCCAAAAACTACTAATTTTTGAGAAAAAAAATAATAAAGCAAATACTGCCCGTTGAACAACGAGGTTGTCGATCAAAAGTTGGAATAAATTTTAAATAAAAAAATCTTGGCAGGCTTTGCAATCTTTGTCAAAAATATTTTTGACGTTTAAATGTCAATGCTTTTCTTAATTATTATTAATATAGAAATTTTTGTTTTACAGAGATTCAAATTTTTTTAGTCGTATAAAAAAAATTATCCAAAATTATCGATTTTGCAGTCAGCAACACGTGATATCATTAGAATAAAATTTACAATGTAAGATTGCGCTAAGAGGATAATAATTTCTTGATAATGAGCATTATAAAGCTCGAAAAGTCGAAGAAATAATGTTTTAATTTTATAAAAAAAAACAAATTACCACTGAGAAGAGGTGTTTTATATATACGACTAAATTAATTATTATTGCTTTTCAAATTAATTTTTGAATAAAATTCTATCGCATTTACGCTCGTTCACTCGACGTTTCAAAATTTGAAATAAAACAATAATAATAGTAAGAAAACCTCTGACATTTAAACGTCAAAAATATTTCTGACAAAGATTGCAAAGCCTACTAAGATTTTTTCATTTAAAATTCATTCCAACTTTTGATTAACAACCCTACAGCTTTACAGTTAGTGTTTGCATAATTATTTTTTTTCTCAGAAATTATTAAATTTTAGAAGAACTTCAGAGAGACAAAAAAGTTTTAGAATAGTTTTATCTATCTAACTGAAATGTTTCCAATGTATTTATCATCATCATAAAAACAATATAGGCATAAATTCAATGAGGGTGGATACGTTTAGTAGTTTAGGTTGAAAGTACAAATAGGGTCAAAACATGCCCTATTATGAGTTAAACATATTCCCCAAATTTCATTTTCCTAGCGTTTATGGTTTTTGAGAAAAAAAAATTATACCAAAATTTTCCGCCATTTTTGGAGGAGTGTAACTTCTTAGGGAAGCCGAAGTCGCACATGGTTTATATATTAAAGTACAAAAAAAAGACGCACGGCAAAACCCCAAATGCTCAAATTGTTTTCCGTCGGTATTAATACAGGCTCTGCATCGTCGCAGAAAAGATCTACTAGTTGTCCAAATCTCTTTGCATTTATTTTTTTCTGCTGCTGTATAAATATAGTGGCGCAGTTCGGCAACATTTTCAATCGGTTTTTAATACAGTTTCTTTTATGCAATCCTAATAAAAAAAAATCAAGGGGATTTAAACCCAGAGAATGAGGAGGCTACGTAATCGAACCAATGCGCTCAATCCATCTTTCGGGATATTCTGTATTCAATCCCGTACAGGACAAGCATAATGAGCTGGGCAACCATCTTGTTGAAACCACATTTCTCTGCAGATTTTGAATCAGTCAATCATTTATTTCAATAAAGTAGAATAGTGCAATACATTAATACAAATACATTATTTCAGTAAAAGAAAATGACAATACCAAAATACGAGAAGATGTTAAATTATTTTGGAGAAAAGACAAATAACATACGAAAGTATGAATTTTTTCAATTTTTTTTGCAGAAAAACAGGCAATAATATTTTTTAGGAAAAGAAAAATGGAAAGTGTTACAATTTTGGAATCTTGACTAAACAGGCTATCGTTTAAAATAACTTGCCAGGGTGTTGTACTACTCCTTTTTTTTTCAACTTTAACTCAATCTAATTTTTTTTTTTTGCAAAACTAACGACTTTTGTTGTTTGATTTGTGACTTCTATAGTAGCATGGTTCACAAGGAACACATTATTAAAAAAACTCTATTAAATTGCGAACATTTCTCACCGTAACACAGTGTTAGGAAGTTTGAAATTACCGGCCATAACATGATTTTACTAATTTTCTTTTTTAGTATTTTGGTAAATGGGGATCGTTAGGTTGTAATAATCACTTTTTATTAACTTCAACTCTGGATAAAAATGACATGTAAAGGTAAGTCTTATTTTGCAAAAAATAAATTGCGCACATTTGCGCATTTTCAATAAAATGGCTAATATACAGATGTCTACAGGTGTCTACGGATATTCGACAGTCAATACTGAAAGTTAGTCTCGAAACTATCAATCGTTTATAATTTTTTAGAATAACTATTTTTTATGAATTAGTATAAGTACTAACTGTATTATTAGATCTAGAAAAGCTTTCGAGCTTAACCGTGCGTGTTAAAAAGAAGAGTCACGATGCGGATATCATGTTGTAACTTTTTTCCCAAACAAGTCCGAAGTATTTTTTTAGTAAACCTATCCAACACAGTTCAAGAACATTTCAAGAAATGAACTTACAATAATACTTCAAAATACAGGGTGGTTCAGTTTTTAATCGGGAAACTTTACTAGGATGTAGTACTTGCCAAAATAACACAAGTTTTTTATATAAACATAGGGTCGCAACTCTTGTAGCGATCAACGTTGAGCCAAAAATTTATATTTTATTTCGGCTCTAAGTAAACCATAGAATTTGAAATTTTGTACGTACTTACTACTGGTTGTTATACCTTACTTTCAAGCATACCTTGAGATTCCCTAGCACTCTCTAAGGGGATGAAATTCGCCATGGAATACTAACACAAGAAAATATGAGTTTTAAAGCACATTCTTTAGTGCTACTTTTTTGTATACACCTATCCCCCGATTTACACGGTACTTGTTTTACACGGTTTTCCAAATAATTTTTTTTTTGTTTTTATCGCACTCTACTAAATGCTACTGTGATTGAACACGTGCGCTGTGTACACATCTCACGGGGGATCCCGAACTTATGTGCTGACTTAAAATATATTACATATTTTAACCTGTCAATGCATTTTATTTTTATTTCTGTGTACACCTAAAAATATTGAAAAAAATCACAACTGTTAAATAGCAAAATTATGCATTTTCTGCAAGCTTTTCGATTTACACGGTTTTGATTTGAAAATTTTTAATTTTCGATTTACACATTTTTCTCAGGAACGTATCTACCGTGTAAATCGGGGGATAGGTGTATTTAATTTTTTCCTTAAAGTTAATAGTTTTCGCGTAAAAAAACAAAATATCGCGCCATGTACCGCCATGTTTAGCTAAAATTGTTCTAAAAGTTGGCTTTGAGTTTCATTTACGTTGAATCCTCATAATTATTGATGATTATTAATAATGTTTGACTGTTATTAAGCAACATTAGCAATTTTTTAATATTGTTTATTATTGTTTAAAACAATGTAATTTGTTCAGACAGACATTTACGTTATTTATGGTTTTTGTTATGAAAATCAAAATAAACTTCTGTTATTTTGCCAGTATTAGATCCTAGTAAGAGTACAACTTCCATAGCGCTATTAGATTATATAATCAATTATATAATTGGTATTATATGCCTGTGGCAGTGCATAAAATTCTTGTGCGTGGCCTGCTTCCAGAAGAAGCGCAAAAAACCAGGAATAAAGACCTTAGAAGGTATAGAGAATGGACAAGACAAAAGTCCAGAATACACAATAATAGCGACATTTTAAACAGGCTATTAATATCTTCAGACCAATTTATAACATGATTTCATAGCAAGAAATCAAGGAGTAATGCAAATTTTCCAGAATAACTTATTAGCCTTCTCTGCTTTGAAAATGATGAAGAAATAAAAGATTTTTTATATATTAATGTTGAAATTGTAGAACACAGTGAAGAGGAAGAAAAATAAATATAAGTATAAAAAAAATGTTAAACAGTATGTTAAAACACTAAATTTGCTTATGGGTTAAAACATAATTTATGGTTATCATTACATTATTAAACATTTGTCACAAATTAACACAGAAACAGAGAATAGAGTAGTTTGAATAGATGGCATGGCAATCTATTTCCATAGAAACAAAAATGGAAGTAATTCAACGAATGGAAAATGGACAGACACGGCTTAGTGTCTGTAGTTATTTAAACTTGCCTCCATCAACTGTTACTACAATTATGAAAAATATAAATAAAATTAACCCTTCCTCTGTAAACCTGGGTATTTCTTGGCAAAAATAAATTTTTCGATAATTTTATGATTGATTTATCAAGTTGAAGGTTTCGAGCAACATCATAAATTGTTTATAAAATTTTTTGAGTGCATTAACAGGATGAAAAAAACGGCCGGGCCCGAAAGACCCACCTTTACAGACGGAGGTGCTAGAAAAACCGTTTACAGACGAAGGGTTAAACACTCTGCTCAACAGTCTACAGTACCAAATGTTAAACACGTAAGGTAAAATTTTTTAAAAAAATGTAAAGAATTGTTAACGTTATGGGTAACGGAAAAAGCAAAATCAACTTTTAACAATTTTAAGAAAACAGATGGAGGTGAGGAAACATTTTTGGGAAGCAAGGGTTGGTTTATGAGATTTAAATCTCGAAGTAACTGTCGGAGTGTGAAATTAAGCAGCAAGTGCAGATAGAACAAGGCAACTATTCTCCAGAGTTAATCTTCAACGTTGATGAGACAGGTCTTTATTGAATGAAGATACCAGCGCGAACTTTTATTTCTGATGACGATCTGCTCCAGGTTTTAAACTTGCGAAAGATAGAATAACTTTTTTTTGTGCGGGGGACGAATGTTTCATTAACTTTGAAACTTAAACCGATGGTAGAGTACCATTCACAGACACCACGTGCTTTAAAGGGTCTCAATAAAGACATATTACTAGTTTAGTGTAAGTGGAACAAGAAAGCTTGGGTCAGTACTGTGCTTCGCTTTTGTGGACAAAATAAATTAACACCCAAAGCACTTCTTCTCTTGGGCGATGCTCCAGGACATCCTCAAACCCTGGATGAAATCAAAACATCATTTGGCATCTTTAAGGCATAGTATGCCTTAAAGATGCACTATCCGCACTACTTTCTTGGAAATGGCTAGTCAAAGAGTATTAGTGGTTTTTGGATATTTTAAAATGCGTTAATAATGTAAAGTCTGCTTGGAATGAAGTTGGGTAAAATGTTTAAATGGAGTTTTTCGTAAACTTCCGCCAGTATTAATGCACAATTTTCAAGAAGTACCACAACAGGAGAATCTAATTGAAGACTTTACCAGACTTGCAAGTGATTTGGAATTGAAAGATGTCACAGAACATTTAGAAGTCCAAGATCAACCACTCTTAAAAGAAGACTGAGAAGAATTATACAAAGAATTGGATCCTGAAGAGTCAGGGGATGACGACACCGAAGAACAAATTTCAAAAGTGATGAAAACGGCCGATCTGAAGCGTATCCTTTCAACTATGGAAAGTTTGGGTAATGAACTTTATACATAAAAAGGGGCTTTATCGCATCCACTCGACCATATACTGAAATTCTCAATGAAAAAGTCCAAGCAATCAACGCTGGATACTTTTTTCTAAAAAATATAAGATATCGAAATTTTGAAATTATAATTTGCCATAAAACCCGTTTTAAAAATTATATTTTATGTATTGTTTATTATATTACTCAACTTTAACTATAGTTAATACAAATGTAGTAAAGTTAAATAAAATATAAGATACAATAATATAATATATACTTAACTATATTTAGTTTAAATATAGTTAAGTATATATTTAATATACTTTAAATATATTTAATGTTGTTTTTCAATATTGTAATATTAAAAAACAACATTATTAGTTTAATTTTGAGGTATGTACAACCTAATCTTATACATAAGTATGTATACAATGTATACCTCACCGTAAATATAGGTTCGTTTTACGTCGGCGTTTGTAGGAACAGATCTGCGGCGTAAACTGAGGGTTACCTGTATTTAGCTTTACAAATTTTGAACTTACCCACTTTGTGAGTGACCCATTATTAAAGCATTAAACACGTTTTCATTAACTGGAAGTTGCTTTTCTCTCATAAACTCCAAAATTTTTGTAGCTCCTTCAATGTCTCCAATTTGACAATAACGAGAGATCAATCTTTGATAAGTAACTCGATTAGGTTCTAAGCCTTTACTTTCAAGTTCCGTTAAGAACTCTGTTGGTGAGAATTCATGTTCGTTTTCTAAATAAACCCTCAATAAAGCATTATAATGTGAGATATCCATAGGAACATTTAATTTCTTTAGAGTATTCCAAATTTCTTGGACCAATTTTGTACGAATTTCTGGCACCTCTTCAGGGACTAGATTTCCACAACATCTAATAACCAATAAAGACTGGGAGCTTGTGGCCGATCGGGAACTCCGAATTTCCTCAAGGACATCTTCGATGTCTCGGCGTGATATTCGACCTGATCTGCGTACATCTTGATCAAGGGAACGTAAGCGACGTTCTAGGTTTTGGTCGTGTTGAGCGACCGCCTGTGTGGCTAGCGATCTAGTAATACATAAAAATATTATTGCATAATACTTTCGTAAGCCGGTTAATTAAACAACAATTTGAGGTTATGTACGCTAAAACGGGTACCTACCGGGGAATTGCGCCGCAAAAACATTGCGAATTGTTGATTACGCTTCCGTCAAATTCACGGGGTGTATTTACAACGATATTTCTTGCAAATCCCGCTATATATCGTGCAAATTTCGAAGATCTTAGTATTGAAGCCATGCCGGATTCTCGAAAATGTTTGGTAACTAAATAGAGATATTTTTACTGTGATAACTTTAAGTTGGTATTGACGTGACTAAAATAAATGGTGGAGAATTTTAAAATGAATTGAAACAGTTTCCTGTAATAAATATTAATATAATATTAGTAATAATTTTATAACTTTAAAATATAAGGTAAACGTGGTAAATTTTACTTAAAATCTTTGTTGGTACACAAAGTAATTTTATATATTTTATGATATTTGTGGTCAAATTGCATTACAATGGTGTTAAACGTTATTCACAGATATCACTACCGTACCTGTAGTACCTATCAACAGACTTAATGGAATGAGTGAACATTGCGTCGCTTGATCATTATTTTGAACCATGTCCAAAACAAAATTTTATTATGTGCAATTGTATTGTACCAATGATACAGATCGTGCTACCACGTGACATAGGACTTGATACCACTAATCTTAACATGAATTTAGACAGCCTATAGTCACAACCACGAAAGAAAAACGATCTGCTAACGTTTAAAGCCAAATTACTGCTTTGTTGATGTAAGAAACTTGGTTCACAACAATTCTTAGGTGACGATTTGTAAAATGTATATCTTCTATCGAAAAAAGCTGGAATTAAATATGATATGACACCTCAGCAGTGTTGTTAACCCTTAACTGGTCCTGTGTAGTCCAGCAGACTACGCGATTGAAACCTCGGCTTAAAAGTTATAACGGGTAAGATATCGATAATAGTCTCTCAGACTACGTCGGTCCAGTTGTGTAACTTTTTTTTTGTTTTGACGATCCTGATTTTGATAAAGCTCTTTTAAAATGGTACGAAAATACTACAGACAGCGGCGACAGTGACATAGATAACGTATCGGAAGACAACCTAATTGAATTAGAGCACGATAGCGATTCAGAACTGTCTGCTAGCGAGGACTTCGTAGATGAAAGTGTAAATATTGTAGATAATGTGAACAAAAAGTATTTATATGGCAAAAATCGGTATAGATGGTGTACGTCAGAAGTTTTACCTTCATTTCGGACCCGAAAGCATAATCCGATTCTAAAATCAAAAGTTACGTGCTTTTGATTTTAGAATCGGATTATCCTCGGTAATGCTGCGAATCCATTGCCAATCTGGAATTTGCTTTTCGATAACAAAATGTTAGAACATATTCTACAGCACACCAACCAAAAACTAAGTTCAATTCGTGAGAGATATTCTGTACAATCCAGACATTATGTAACAGACGCAGATATCACTGAGGTGAAGGCATTTTTGGGGCTTCTAGTATATACGGCGATATTCAATTCGAGTCATGAAAATATAGACCGTATATTCGCAACGGACGGAAGTGGAAGAGAAATATTTAGAGTAGTCATGAGTAAGAAGAGATTTGCTGTTCTTTTGACGGCTATACGATTCTACAATTCTCAGGACAGGGAAGAGCGGAAGAAGAACGATCCGGCTGCAGCAATTTCATTTATTTTCAACACATTTGTAGAAAATTGTCAAAATGTTTATGGACTTAGACAGTCTGTTACTATAGTAGATGAAATGCTTGTAAGCTTCCGAAGAAGGTGCCGCTTCAAAGTGTACATACCTAATAAACCGGCAAAGTACGGCCTCAAAATACAGTGCCTTACCGACGCACGAAACAGTTATCTATATAACGCATACATCTATACGGGAAAAGATTCTGATAGTTTTGGCCTCAATGGTGAAGAGAAGAGGTTACTAAAGCCTACTCAAGCTGTGTTACGTTTAGCGAAACCAATTTTTAACAGCAATCGTAATATTACAGCTGACAATTGGTATTCTTCCATACAAGTAGTTGATCTGTTATGGAAAAATAATTTGACGTACGTCGGTACACTAAAAAAAAATAAGGCCGAAATACCACCCATCTTTTCAATCCAATAGGAAAAGAGCAGCTAACTCAACACTGTATGCATTCAGTGAAGAATGCACGTTGATTTCATATAAGTCATCTGATATCTGATATATTTTACTGGTATCACTTTTATACCCACTGTTTGGGTATTTACCCTGGGCCGGGGTAAATACCCGGATAAATACCCATTTTAGAAATACCTACCCGCCGGGTATTTACCCAGCGCCCATCACTGGACACCTGTTAACACCCCCTAGTAGAGCAAAAAACTTCAAAGAAAATCAAAGAAATCACCTACATTTCATTAATGAAAATATAAAAGAAGAAAAGATAAAAGAAGAAAACGTCATACAAGAGGAAATCAATAAATGAGAAATTGAAAAGATAGTAGAAGCATATAAAAACAAGAAAAAGAAGTCATTTAGAACAAACGATATCTTAAACCTGATGGTGCAAAAAAAGAAATAAAAAGGAATACAAAAAGAAACAGACTTATTGTTAGATCAGGAGAAGGATCAGGGAGGTTAAACAAAAAGAAGAAGCAGAAAGATGTGCAGAAATAAAAATGCTACAAATCAAACACGACAGCTAAAAAAACTAACTTCCATAAAAAATGAAAGAGATAACGGAAAGCTTTTAATAGACGACACCAGATGAGAATCATGAACTTAAATGGGAAATTAATTATAAACAAACAAGATATTAAAAGCAAGTGGAAATTATATCCGACTCGACTTTCCAAGAAGTAATAATAGGCCCAAACATATTGAAAGTTGATGTAGACACAGCAATAAAACAAATAAAAAATAAAAAAGCAGTAGGGCCAGACTGAATTCTTAAAACTACTGGATGAGGAATAATCTGAATCACGGAAATTTTTAACAAAGTCTATATTCCGGAAAACTGTCTACAATCAAAATTTGTTGCCCAAAAATCCAGGAGCAAAAAGTGCGAAGAATGTTAGTCTAATGAGCCATGTGCTGGTGCGAAGATACAAAAAATGCGAAGAAATGATATCAAACAGTCAATTCGGGCTCCTAAACCAATATAATCCAAAGATGGGATGTAAACTGTGGCGAATATGCGAGTCTAATAGATTGCGAAAAAGCGTTCGATTGAGATCAACATCAAAAGATGATTAATATTCTTAAAGATTCAAAAGATTGAAGACCCATCAGATTTGGCGGGATCACTATCAGTGATTAATGCTCGGTACCACAGTTGTACTGCCTGAACGGCAGTCCTAGATCGAAAACGAAAATTCTCTGGTTCAGGCAAATATTTGCATGTTCACAGATGGATTGGAAAACGGCGGAAGGGGTCAGAACAGGAGTATACTGCCAGACTCCCCGAATTAAGCAAGCTTACAGCCTGGGTACGTACTGTACTGTATTCCAGAAGGAAGTATTTGCTATTGACATGGGTGCTAAAATCCTCCTTGAGAGAGGGATGAAGAACATGACAGTACGACTTTTCTCAGACAGTCAAGCCGCTTTCCAGGCGCGGCAAGCCGTGAAGACCGTGTCGGCTCTGGTTAATGACTGTAAGAGAACATTAAACACACAGAGTTTCTCTGATCTGGGTTTCAGATTACTCTGGGGTTGCTAGCAATGAAGTGGCAGATGAGCTAGCACTAGAGGGCAGCGCTAAAGCGTTTGTGAGGCCAGAACCAGCAGTTGGTGTATCATTTGCGATGGCCAAACATCTATAGGATTGGACTGTGGACTAAAGTGTGGACTGTGGAGGAGACTTCGCCTACTGTGGACCAGTTCTCCTGGAATAAAACCCCGGAAATATTTTAGGATTGGCTTGTAGCAGCATTAAAGTTCTAATGGGTGTCTTTACTGGACACTGCCGCTTAAAAGCACACCTCAACTTGTTGGGTCTAGTCGATGTTAGACGATGTTGAATGCCGACTATGTGCGGAGGAAGCGGAGGCGGTTGAGCATGTTTTATGCCACTGCCCTGCTATTAACCGTATCAGATTCTCGATTTTTGGGTCGCAGTTTATTTCCCCAAAGGATCTGAATGACCTTTCACCAAGCAAGGTATTAATGTTCGTTAAGAGCATTGGACTGCATGGTGAAATTTGATAACGTTATTTATCGGGGTACAATAGATCCTTAGGGTCGCGGTGCAAGGTTGGTTGGTTCGCCTACCCGATATGTAAAATTGAAGACCTCACAATAATTTCAAACCTCTATTGGAACCAGACAACGGGCATAAGACTTGATGGAGAAACAGAAGATTACGTGGCATTAGAGAAGGGGGTATTTTCTCGCCGTTAATATTCAATATCTACTCAGAAAGAATCTTTAAGAAGTAAATAAGGGTATTGCCTTGAACGAAGTCAGAATAAATACTGTAGATATGCAAATGATACTATGGTGACGCAAATAGCATAGAGGGATTACAAACGTTCAATCGAATGGAGACCACGCACTGATAAGCGTAATAAAGAAAGACCACCTACACGCATCATCGACGACTTGAAAAGAGTAGCTAGAAATTGGATTTAGAAAGCTCAAAAAAGGAAAATGCCATGAGAAAGTCCTATGTGCCGTAAGTACCAAAAACTTCTTTAGAACAATCACTAAGTATTTCAGTTCCCTTTCGTTTTCGTCCTCCGAATGATTAATAACATTTTAAAAAAGTACTTCGTCTGATGACGTTTTATGATATGCCACAAATGTTTAGCAGATTACGAGGAAAAAAACTAAATTTTTGGTTTTTGAAGTATTGTCCGATGATTTCTATGTTACCTAATGTGTTTTACTTTCTTGTTTTATTTATGTTATGTCGTAAAGAATCTTTTCGCTGTTTTATTATTAAAACAATCACTTTTTTTGTGGTATGCCTTAATATCCGATTATTTATGTGAATCGCTATATAAAGATCACAATAATTGCAAATTTTGACTAAGTGAGCCCTAATTTTTCTAGCTCCCAATTGAATAGAATGTTACAAGTATAATATTTTGATTATAACAAGAGAACCTCTCGACAGATTTAGACGAACAATATGTCATTTGAAACTTCTTTCATCTCTTTCAAATTCTGCTAAAACACCAAAACATAACGAAAACACATAATAATGAACTTTTTTAGGTGGTCAAAATGCCCGATCCCAATTCTTTCCCGTTAATCTTGTACAGCT